CCAATGGATGGGTTCCGCAGGATTGGAAGGATGCCCTGGTGGTCCCACTCTTTAAGAAGGGGGACCGCACAGACTGTAACAACTACAGGGGCATCTCACTCCTCAGTGTGCCGGGAAAGGTCCTGGCAAGGATTATTCAACATCGCCTTGCTAGGCACGCTGAGGAGAGGCTTGAGGAGCCCCAATGTGGTTTCAGGAAAGGCCGGTCCTGCACAGATGCCATATTTTCTGTCTGTCTGCTACAGCAGAGGTGGATGGAATTCCAACAAGACCTACATCTCTGCTTTATTGACCCGGTCAAGGTCTATGATACTATCAGTAGGCATTGGCTCTGGGTTCTTCGTGCTTTCGGAGTACCTGACCCTCTGCTCGCGATCATTAAGGACCTTCATGATGGTGAGCGGGCCCGGGTAAAACTACGTGGCCGGGAGTCGGAGACATTCGCTGTTTACTTTAGGGTGCGACAGGGATGTCCTCTGGCTCCCACATTATGTAACATCTATTTCAACCACGTAGTTCGTGAAACATTCAGTAGCTGTACCGGAGGAATTTCCATGTGGTACAGATGCAATGGGAGGCTATTCGATGCCCGGGTTTGGTCAAGGGATGGCTCCCTATTGCTCAACCATGTTACGTATGCCGATGATTTGGTAATTGCTGCTCATTCAAAGGAGAAGTTAGAGATGCTTCTGCTGAAACTGGAGTGTGCCACTAAGAGGTGGAGCCTTACCATCAGCACCTGCCTGGGTATTTTGTACCATTGGACACTCCACCCCCACAACTCCCAATTGGTGATAGGGCAGTTGTGCAGAGAGTGGAGAGTTTCCCATACCTGGGCAGTGTGCTTATGACCGGCTCCGCACGAAGCTTCAGGCCTTCTCGGCCACAGTCATTCCCTCCCTTATCTACGCTTGCCTAAACAGCTTTTGTTCGGCCGAATTGAGGGGGCTAAACGGGCGCGGCACGGGCTAGAGATGAGATGGAGTGATGTGGTACAGGAGGACGTGCAGCTGAGTGGACTTGCTGATGACTGGTACCAGCGGTGTCAAGATCGGCCTCAGTGGAGGAGGCTCGTGAAGGACGCTACTGGGCAGTTGGAGGCAGTCGCCCTCCAACAACAACGGAGAGCGGAGGAGCGACGCTCACAACAACGAGCGGAGCGCCGGATGTCTAAAGCACAGCAAGTTGGCAGTCGGGGGCACAGGTGGTGCATCAGCCAGTCATCTCGGTCATCTCAGTCAGTCGACCCGTGGCACCTGCTGGGTCTGCCCCGTGACCTCCTGCCAGCGGGCGTTCGACAATTCACGTGGCCTCAAGGTGCACATGGCCTGGCACAAGCGCCGTGGTGATGTCACTACCACTTAGTGGCGAATGGCGGTTGTTGTTGTTGTGTACGTGCGTGAGCATGCATGTGTATGCGTGTGTGTGTGTGTGGTTGTGCATGCATTTGCATGTGTGCGCGTGTTTGTGCGTATGTGTGTAAGGTGGTCCTACGGGGTGCTGCTGTGGGAGATCTTCACCCTGGGGGGCTCTCCGTACCCGGGCGTCCCCGTGGAAAAGCTTTTCAAGCTGCTCGGTGACGGCTACCGCATGGAGCGGCCTGCCCTCTGCTCCGACGAGCTGTGAGTAGGAATCGGAGATCGCAACGACGACTACGACGATGACGTCATGTTACCTACAGGAGCGTCGTTCGTTGATGTTGTTGTTATTATTACTCTATACCAGGGGTCCTCAAACTACGGCCCGCGGGCCATATGCGGCCCGCCGAGGACATTTATCCGGCCCACTGGGTGTTTTTGCCGCCGCTGCCTGTCTGTTACTTTTTTATACATGAGAAGGACGGTCATTGGTGGAAGAGGGAGAGGGGGCGGAGTTCCCCCCAATCAGACTGCATTGATGGGCAGTACAGTCTGTAAGTCTCTGTGTGGGCAAAGTTATTGCTGGTATATTGTTTTGTAGCGCTGTATATATATTGGTATTTTACTAATAGCAATTTTGACGTCCCTAGGAAACAATGATGTCAAGAAAGAGAAAAATTGACTCGAGTGTAGGATATTCAAAGAACAGTGGACTTATGATTACTTTTCATGCAGTACAAGGAAAGAGCTGTGTGTCTGATATGCCAGAATATAGTGTCTGTGTTCAAAGAATACAATTTACGTCGAACACTATGAAACTCAACATAAAGATAAATATGCTTGTTTGGGTCGGAGAAGTGAGAAAAGATAAAATATTAAAACTGAAAAATACATTGGCAACTCAGCAAAATACTTTTGTGAAGCAGAAGCAGCTAAATATTTCATCACTGCGAGCAAGTTTTCAAGTTGCCAAGCTAATAGCGTGCACTGGCAGACCATTCGTGGAGGGAGAATTTGTTAAAGAATGCCTTCTTTCTGTTGACAAAGAGATGTGTCCAGAGAAGGCCGATTTATTTAGTACAGTGAGTCTTTCAGGACCTACAATTACACGGAGGATTGAAGAAATGGGAGACAATTTGCATCAGCATTTGCAAAACTCCACAAAAAAACTTTCCTATTTTTCCTTGGCACTCGACGAAAGCAATGATGTTCGTGATTCTGCACAACTTCTAATTTTTATTCGTGGGACGAATGACTATTTCGAAGTCACAGAAGAGCTTGCTGCACTGCAAAGCATCAATGGAACAACTACAGGAGAGGATATCTTTCGATTTAAAGCTTTCGTGACTGCAGGGATTCATCTTCTTGGTTCTTTCGGTAAAGTCACATAGAAGGGAAGTAATAAAATAATTCTCACGACGTTTCGGCCACAACGCAAGCAGCCGTCCTCAGGTGAAAACCAGGTCTGTTGGGGAGACAGCGTCTGAATGAAACAGCACACGAGCTTGGAGCATATATAAGCTGGGTTGGAAGCGGGGGAAAGGGCGCCTTGACAAAAGAATTTGCATATCAAGAGGAATTTAGCATATTTATGGGAAATGCAGGAATGTTATTAGTACTACATATGTCCGTGCTGCATATGTAGTACTAATCACATTCCTGCATTTCCCATAAATATGCTAAATTCCTCTTGATATGCATCTCTCCCCTCTGAGACATATCCTCATCTCAGGAACCATGCACTCAAATGGCAACCATCTTTGGCAGCACTTATGTCTGTGAACAGACTTTTTCCAGAATGAAACATTTGAAATCTCCAACCAGATCTAGACTAATGGTTGCACACTTGCATCACTTGTTACGACTAGCAGTGACAAATATGGAACCGGACATTGACCATCTCATTAGCCAAAAGCAGGCCCATAGTTCCCATTGAAATACTGGCAAGTTTGTTGATTTAACGTACTTGTTCTTCATTTTAAATATTGTATTTGTTCCCGTTTTGTTTCTTCACTTCAAAATAAGATATATGCAGTGTGCATAGGAATTTGTTCATAGTTTTTTTTGTAACTATAGTCCGGCCCTCCAACGATCTGAGGGACAGTGAACTGGCCCCCTGTTTGAAAAGTTTGAAGACCCCTGCTCTATACACTACACTATACACTACACTATACACTACACTATAATTGTAAATACAGTAGTGGGTTTACTCTATACACTACATTATACACTACACTATACACTACACTATACACTACACTATACTTGTAAATACAGTAGTGGGGTTACTCTGTACACTACACTATACACTACACTATAATTGTAAATACAGTAGTGGGTTTACTCTGTACACTACACTATACACTACACTATACTTGTAAATACAGTAGCGGGTTTACTCTATCCACTACATTATACACTACACTATACACTACTCTATAATTGTAAATACAGTAGTGAGTTTACTCTATCCACTACACTATACACTACACTATACACTACTCTATGATTGTAATGTAGTAGCTGCATGTCTGTGCACATTGCGTGTACGCCGTGCGCACGGTGTACACGCACGGCGCGTGTTGAACTTGACTCGCGTGTCGCCGTGCGCAGACACGCGACGATGAGCGAGTGCTGGGCGACCGTCCCCAGCGACAGACCGACGTTCGCGCGGCTGGCGGACGACTTGGGGCGGATCCTCGTGGCCAACGGGGGCCGCCGTGACGAGGTGACCGCTGCCCCGTCCGGGAGGGGGGGGGGGCGACATGGGCCACGGGGCAGAGAGAGAGATGGAGACGTGGGGGTCGTCAGGCCGTAGGGGTCGAACCTGCGACCTCCCGCTTGCCACCACGCTCGCAGGATGCCGTAGAGGGAAGAGAAGTGGTGGTGGTGGTGGCGGTGGCGGCGGTGGTGGCGGTGGTGGTGGCGGCAGTGGTGGCGGTGGTGGTGGTGGCGGTGGTGGTGGTGGTGGCGGCGGTGGCTTTGGCCATGATGACATGTTTATTTTAAAAGGACTAAACGTTGATCTTCTTCACACCAGTGATAGCGATGATCTGTTCTGGTCCCGGGTCTCCACTAGGTCGACTCAGCCTCAATCGAGTACCTGACGTGGTATGTGTATTAAACATCGCCGCCGGGGAGACAAAGGCGGCCGGGCGTGGTGCTGGCCACCCACCCCCTCGTGTGCCACAGCGCCGGTAGCCTTCATAGGTGCTGCTACTCGCTAACAGCACTTGCCCCTACAGTCTGTTCAGGCTACACGGGGATCTTGGGTCTTTGTCATCTCTCCCCCATCTTTCCCCCATCTCTCCCCCACCTCTCCCCCATCTCTCTCCACCTCTACCCACGAACATCACTTGCTCCGACAGCCTGTTTGAGGCCACACAATGGGGGGTCTGCTTGTCTGTGTGCGCTAGGACTACGTGGACATGACGGCCGGACTGATGTAGCCCGCCTGGAGATTCGCCGACACTCCCCGTGGTGGTGTTGCTGGTGGTGCTGGTGGTGAAGGAGGGAGGTGGTGGTGGTGGTGGTGCTGGTGGTGCTACTATACACTACGCTACTATACAATATACACTACACTATACACTACACACCACACTACTATACACTACACTATTTTTAGCACCAGGCTAGGGTAACCTACGGGTGTGCTAGGAATCCCCAGTACCCTTCCCCTGGGGTGTGGAGTGTGATAGGACACGGGAACGTGTGCCTGCAGCGGGAACAGCCCAGCCGCCGCCGCCGAAGGAGGAAGGCTCGAGGGTTAGAAGCCCAACCTCGTCGCCGGGCGGTGATGGCGGCGTGCCCCCGCCCGGGGCAGACGAGGGGAGCCGTGGCGGGGCGTGGAGTAATGGGAGACAGTTCTACGTGCAGCCAGAGGTCCGACGCCTGCACCATGACGGGCGAAGGCGTCAGGTGTGCAGCATAGGCAGTGATTGTGCAGCAGTACTCAGAGTGTAAGCAGAGTCGTGTGAAGAGTGTTTAATAAAACAACTGGCGCAAGCCCTTACATGAAGCTCCGTCTCCGTGTGGATTTACAAGTCTCCAGCGTGTCAGGAATAACCACACAACACTTGGGAGATCATCTCTGCCTGGTGCCTTTCCTGGTCTCAGGCTATGGAATGCTTTCAGTACTTCCTCAACAGATGGCACCTCAGCCAGGCACTCACAGGGGGTGACTTCCTCTTCCAATATTTGAGGCACCGCAGCCTCAGCAGGGTCATCCCCACTTTGTGCCATGATGTTTTCCAGGCTGGGGTATTTCCCCTCCCCCAGGACCTCACAAAAATGCTCAGCAAATCTGCAAACCTGTTCCTGGGGGTCGGAGATTGGATCACCGTTCGTTTCCCTAATGATGGTAATAGGTATGGCGCTGCAGGTTACTTTTTATGGAAATAAACAGCGATATGTGATCGCAGGCCATTGAGGCAGACTCCATCTCCTCAGTAACCCACGACCACCACCCATCCTTGCAGCGCCTCACGGCTCTCCGAACCTCCGAGCGAAGGCTGCGGTAAGCTTCCTCATTCTCTGACGTGGGATGCTGTAGACGATGAGAGAGGGCCTGTCGCTTTTTCTCAGCCAGCCTGAACACCTCTTTTGTCAGCTAGGGTCTCTGAGGAGGTATGGACCGTGTACCCAAAGTAGCCATTGCAGCTGCATGAGCCACAGTCCTAAACCTCGCCCATTTCCCCTCGACATGAGGAGTGGGGGGCGATGCCAACCCTAGCCGCAAGCGATGATGAAATTCTTGCTTGAAACTTTAATCAGCTAGCTGAGGCCATGCCACGATGGGTTTAAATGGGGTCCTGGGTGTACACCCCCCACCGGAGTGGAAGAATGGCAGGCGCATCTTGCAGATGACAAGTCAATGGTCAGTGGGCAAATCAGCTCCTGGTGTCAAGGACATGGGCCCGCATGCACTGGTCCGTCACAATGTAGTCCAGCAGATGTTCTTGCTTGTGTCGTGACTGTGATTGTCACTGTGTGGTGCCGGGCTTACGAAGCCACGGCGGATGATGTGTTGGCATTACGTGCAGCCCGCTCACTGGGCGTAGTACCGCCAGCCCTAGCGGGGCCTGGGTGAGCGCTGGTCAGCGCGGAGGCACCGTGTACAGCGTGCGGTGCGGGCTCCCGGCGAGGGAGCGAGAGGGAGCGAGAGGGAGCGTCAGCCAGCCAGGGTTACGTTGGGGCACGATACGCCGGTTGACCTGCCGACACGTGACCGGATGATATTGGAGGGGGCCACCGGTGGACGGGGGGCCGCTGGGCGGTCACGTGGTCTACAAGAGCCTTCGGGGAGCCTTCGGGAAAGAGCCGGAAAGATCTAGAAGGTGGGCGGGGCGAGGGGTTGTAGATCTGAAGTTTTCGCGACTGCGATGATTCATACTCTTTGGTGTTTTCGGTAAAGTCACGTAGGTGAAAAATAAAATAAAATTAAAACTAAATTAAATCACGACGTTTCGGACGCCACGCAAGTGTCTGTCAACGGGCAGGAAAGCGTGGCCTGCTGCTGATGCAGACCAAAGAGTGAGGGGCTCGGGGTTCTTCGTGTTGCTGGCGATGAAGATCCGCATCGGGTTGAAGAAGCCTCTAGTCACGCGGTCAACACCCAAGTGTAGCTTGTGTTGTGTTGCTGAAGAGTGTTGCTCCCAAGACAACGTCTGCGACCGAGTTGGACTCGACACACTTGGACCCGCCGCCGGGTTCATAGAGCAGCGTAGCGCTAACCGCTACACCACCGCTACCCATCGCGCTGTGGGGGTCACCTTGGTCTCGATGTTGCGCCCTCTCAGTGCCGAGCGGACGAAGCGCAGCACGCAGTCCACCAGCCCCTCACCCTTCCACGTGCTCAGCCGTCCGTCCGGATCTGCCGAGCTCAACTCCCTGCAATGTCACCCGCCGTGACGTGAACCCCCGACGTTCCCCGTCGCGTCCACCGCATGACGTCGTGTCAACCGCGGCGTTCCCCGTCGCGTCCACCACGAAATCACCGCCCCTTACCGTAGGCACGCCAAGGCGTTGCAGAACGCCGCGGAAGGCGAGGCGGGCGAGCTGGGTGAGGAGGGCGAGCTGGGGTGAGGAGGGTGAGGAGGGCGAGGAGGGCGAGGAGGGTGAGGAGGGTGAGGAGGGTGAGGAGGGCGAGGAGAGCGAGTCTCCAAAGTTGCTCCTCCAGCCGCTCCCTGGCACCAGCACGTGCTCCACCAGCGCCGGGAGGCAAAGCGCCACCAGCGCAGCCCTCAGAGACTCGTGGCACGACAGGTTCCACAGCGTGCCTGGGGTAGGGGTGGTGAGCGTGGGTGGTGAGCGTGGTGTGGGTGGTGAGGGTGCGTGGTGAGTGTGGGATGGTGGTGAGTGTGGGTGGTGAGTGTGGGTGGTGGTGAGCGTGGGTGGGTGGTGAGTGTGAGTTGGTGGTGAGTGTGGGGTGGTGGTGAGTGTGGGTTGGTGGTGAGTGTGGGTGGTGAGTGTGAGTTGGTGGTGAGTGTGGGTGGTGGTGAGTGTGGGTGGTGGTGAGTGTGGGTGGTGGTGAGCGTGGGTGGTGAGCGTGGTGAGTGTGGGTGGTGAGTGTGGGTGGTGGTGAGTGTGGGTGGTGGTGAGTGTGGGTGGTGGTGAGTGTGGGTGGTGGTGAGTGGGGTGGTGGTGAGTGTGGGTGGTGAGTGTGGGTGGTGGTGAGTGTGGGTGGTGAGTGTGGGTGGTGGTGAGTGTGGGTGGTGGTGAGTGTGGGTAGTGAGTGTGGGTGGTGAGTGTGGGTGGTGGTGAGTGTGGGTAGTGAGTGTGGGTGGTGGTGAGTGTGGGTGGTGTGAGTGTGGGTGGTGAGTGTGGGTGGTGGTGAGTGTGGGTAGTGAGGGTGGGTGGTGAGTGTGGGTGGTGGTGAGTGTGGGTGGTGAGTGTGGGTGGTGGTGAGTGTGGGTAGTGAGTGTGGGTGGTGAGTGTGGGTGGTGGTGAGTGTGGGTGGTGAGTGTGGGTGGTGGTGAGTGTGGGTAGTGAGTGTGGGTGGTGAGTGTGGGTGGTGGTGAGTGTGGGTGGTGAGTGTGGGTGGTGGTGAGTGTGGGTAGTGAGTGTGGGTGGTGAGTGTGGGTGTGGTGAGTGTGGGTAGTGAGTGTGGGTTGTGAGTTGGGTGGTGTGAGCGTGGGTGGTGAGTGTGGGTGGTGTTGAGCGTGGGTGGTGAGGTGTGAGTGTGGGTGTGAGTGGTGGGTGGTGGAGGTGGTGGTGAGTGTGGGTGGTGGTGAGGTGGGTGGTGAGGTGTGTGTGGTGAGTGTGGGTTGGTGGTGAGTGTGGGTGGGTGAGTGTGGGTGGTGGTGAGTGTGGGTTGGTGGTGAGTGTGAGTTGGTGGTGAGTGTGAGTTGGTGGTGAGTGTGGGTGGTGGTGAGTGTGAGTTGGTGGTGAGTGTGGGTGGTGGTGAGTGTGGGTGGTGGTGAGTGTGTAGTGAGTGTGGGTGGTGAGTGTGGGTGGTGGTGATGTGGGTGGTGAGTGTGGGTGGTGGTGAGTGTGGGTAGTGAGTGTGGGTGGTGAGTGTGGGTGGTGGTGAGTGTGGGTAGCAATCACCGCCACCAACGGCAACATCCCCACCACCGCCACCACCGCCACCACCGCCAACACCACAACCGCCACCGCCAACTTGTCAGATTGCTCGCAATCACCGCCACCAACGGCAACACCACAACCACCACCGCCACCCCCCAACCACCACCACCGCCAACACCACCACCACCGCCACCACCGCCAACACCACAACCACCACCGCCAACACCACCGCCACACCACCGCCACCACCGCCACCGCCAACACCGCCACCACCACCACCGCCAACCCACCGCCAATACCACCAACACCACCACCTCCCCCACCCTCCCCCACCGAGAAGCCTCCTCTCTCTCTCTGCCGCCCCCCTCCGGCGGTGTTGGGCAGCGGCGGCGGTGGCGGTGCTGGTGGTGAAGAAGCAGTCTCCGAGAGCGCCCACAAAGCCGGACCACCAGCGGCGCGGCAGGGAGCCAAGCGGTGGTGCGGCGGCAGCAGGGGCAGCAGGAGCAGCAGGGACAGCAGGGGCAGTAGCAGGGGCAGCAGGAGCAGGGGCAGCAGCAGCAGGGGCAGCAGCAGGGACAGCAGCAGGGGCAGCAGCAGCAAGAGCAGGGCGTGGAGCGTCAGACAGGAGGGCCGTGGTGGCCATGGTGGTGACAAAGTCCTTCGGCCTGGGAGGGGGGGAGTGGGGGAGAGGTGAGCGTGTGTGTGTAGACATTACACACAGACACACACACATTACAACAACAGCAACCGCCATTCGCCACTAAGTGGCGGTGATGTCACCACGACGCTTGTGCCAGGCCACGTGCACCGAGGCCACGTGAAGTGTCGAACGCCCGCTGGCAGGAGGTCACGGGGCAGACCCAGGTGCCACAGGTCGACTGACTGAGATGACCGAGATGACTGGCTGATGCACCACCTGTGCCCCAAACTGTGCCAACTTGTTGTGCTTTAGCCACCCGGCGCTCCGCTCGTTGTTGTGAGCGTCGCTCCTCCGCCCTCCGTTGTTGTTGGAGGGCGACTGCCTCCAACTGCCCAGTAGCGTCCTTCACGAGCCTCCTCCACAGAGGCCGATCTTGACACCGCTGGTACCAGTCATCGGCAAGTCCACTCAGCTCCACGTCCTCCTGTACCACATCACTCCATCTCTTCTCTAGCCCGTGCCACGCCCGTTTAGCCCCCTCGATCCGGCCGAACAAAAGCTGTTTAGGCATGCGGTGGCTGGGCATGTGGGCTACATGACCCAGCCAACGCAGCCTTGCCTGCCGGAGGAGCTCACTGATGGGACTTTGACCAGATCTTTCAAGAATTTGTGAGCTCCTCACACAATGCAGCCTCGTTAAACCCAACAACCACCACAACAACCACCACCACACAAACAACAACCATCACAACAACCACCACAACAACCACCACCACACAAACAACAACCACCACAACAACCACCACCACACAAACAACAACAACCATCACCACAACAACCACCACAACAACCACCACCACACAAACAACCACCACAACAAGAACCACCACCACCACACAAACAACCACCACCAAACAACCACCACAACAACCACCACCACAACAACCACCACCACAACCACCACAACAACCACCACAACCACAACAACAACCACCACCACAACAACAACCTCCAACCTGGGTGCCGCCATCTTGAACTTGGCGATGGTCTCCGGGTTATGACGTCACCGGGAATCGTTTCTTCGATTCTCATCGATTCTAATCGTTGGTTTGCGCGTCTCTCTCTGCTAATCGATTCCCATCGATTATAATCATCGTTTTGCGTGTCTCCCTCTCTCTGATGATCGATTATCATCGATTAAATTATCCGTTCCGATGGCTCCGTGTGGCTATGAGATGTTGACCACCTCGCCTGGTCTACAGGAGGTCGTGGGTTCGATCTCTCTCTCATCATCATCACGGTGGCTATGAGATGTTGACCACCTCGCCTGGTCTACAGGAGGTCGTGGGTTCGATCTCTCTCATCATCATCATCACGGTGGCTATGAGATGTTGACCACCTCGCCTGGTCTACAGGAGGTCGTGGGTTCGATCTCTCTCATCATCATCATCACGGTGGCTATGAGATGTTGACCACCTCGCCTGGTCTACAGGAGGTCGTGGGTTCGATCTCTCTCATCATCATCATCACGGTGGCTATGAGATGTTGACCACCTCGCCTGGTCTACAGGAGGTCGTGGGTTCGATCTCTCTCATCATCATCATCACGGTGGCTATGAGATGTTGACCACCTCGCCTGGTCTACAGGAGGTCGTGGGTTCGATCTCTCTCATCATCATCATCACGGTGGTGAGTGATGGTGGTGAGTGATGGTGGTGAGTGATGGTGAGGGTGGTGGTGGTGAGTGATGGTGGTGAGGGTGGTGGTGGTGAGTGATGGTGGTGAGGGTGGTGGTGGTGAGTGATGGTGGTGAGTGATGGTGGTGGTGGTGAGGCCACCTCCATCACTACCATCACCACCACCTCCACTATTACCACCACCACTGTAACGTCCACCAACACCACGACCTCTACTTCCAACATCACCACCTCCATCATCACCACCATCACCACCACCATCATCATCACCACCACCATCACCACCACCATCACCACCACCATCATCACCATCATCACCACCATCACCACCATCATCACCACCATCATCACCATGATCACCACCACCATCACCACCACCATCACCACCACCATCATCACCACCATCACCACCATCATCCCCACCATCATCACCATGATCACCACCACCATCACCACTGCAACTCAGTTTGTACAAACTGAAATGTCGTGATTTTTATTTTATTTTACTTTTATTAATTTAAAATTTTTACCTACGTGGCTTTACCGAAAGAAAATCAACCTAAGAGTATGTGTGTGTGTGTGTGATATCAGCAAATTCCATTGGCCAACATCTAATTTGTTTTATTTGAAGGCCACAACATTGTTGACGAACGTGCTGAGTGTTTTGTCTTCATGAGACGCGTTGTTGTGTGTGACCACCACGTGTGCGCACAATGCACGAGCTGGCAGCATGAGCGCTCGGCGTGGAGCGGTGGCGCAGTTGTTAGCGCACACCATCAGAATGTTTATACTGGAGGAATCCGATGAGCGATAAAGCTCTTCTAGACAGATGTCAAGTCGGGGCAGGTCAGAACGTGCCAACAACAAACGACACAAACACACAATAGGAGTCCTAAGTAGAGGAAAGGTAATCGAATCACTTACAAATGTACACAAACTAAACTTAACTATTTTTTAGTTTAGTTTACAGCACTCCGCTGCAAATCCAGCAACTTGAGTTTCAATTCCCGGCCACTGCTGACATCAGCGGTGAGTCACATCTGAACCACATCGTGGTTGCCTTTCACCGCATCCCCGCGGTGACCAGCGTGGTGAAGTATGGTCAAACAGTGCCCACGGCGAGGGGGAGGCATTCATCCAGCAGCAGGGGATGGACACAGCGCTCCTCCGTACGTTGTGTGTCTATAGTTATACGAATCAAAATATTTATTTTAAATTTGAGAAATCCGATGAGCTTCGAAGCTCTATTTTTTTCAGAAGTTCAGAAGTTTCACTGGACGAAGAAAGCCCGGACCAGCTGACAAGCCCTCCTTTTCAAGGGCGACACGGCCGGCATACAACATCAAAGCACTCCACAATTACAGATTATTATTATTTAAAAAAAAATGTTTTATTAGAAAAGTGCTCCTGTTATACACTTTGACACGGGGGGGCGGCGGTGGGGGGAAATATCGCCGCTTATCCTTTATCCGCTGGGAAATGAAAATAAATAAGCCACGGAAATTCACGGCAACACAAAAAAATAAAAGTGAGAATCGGAGCGGCTGCGGTTGGGAGATGTTGGTGTGGACCCAGCGCCCTCGGAGGATCAGAGGGATTTGCGAGTAACGAAGCAAAAAACAAGTCTCCGCGGGAGAGAGGCAGTTCTGTTGCCTAACTCCGTCGCGTACTTGCGAATTCTGTGGCGTACAAACGCGCTCGATCTGGGGATTTACCCCCCTCCCCCACCCCTTGCAGATGACAATGGGATCTCGGCTGGTTAACAAAACTAACAAAAAAACGGAGACGGGGAACGACTCGAATTGAATTGGTTACAAGGTCCGCTCCTTCTCTCTGCCGCCAATACACGTGGCCATGGACTAAATTCAATTAGTTTGTACCGAATGACTTCAAACTGCGCTTCCTGTAACATTGTGCACGAGCGGAATTGTCTTTAGTGAACACAACACGCCGTGTTCATTACCACGACGACGGGCACGCACCACGAACGAAGCCATTACAAAACTACGACAATAAAACACAAACCCTGTGCTCTATGGCTCCGATGCGGCATCTCAGAAATCAAATAATTACACTGGTCAACAAAAAACAACATGTTTTTCTGGCCTGGACTTTTGCAGCTGTTCTAGACTAATTTCAGGGTGCTGATTCCAAATCTGATCTCAGATTTGCTCCATCACATCTCATTTTTATGCTATCGGCATACCCCATTTTCATTGATTTTACTCGAAATTAACTCTGTCACTTATGATTGCAAGTGGTTGCGAGTCAGTGACTGCTTTAGTGTTAAAATATGGTGCTGTATGTTTAGAATATCATTTTATGTAGATATCCACATTTATTTAATATTTTTCTTCCGCAGTTTTTATTGAAAATGCAATATTTGATATTTCAAAAACCTGATGTGATAGACAAAAACTGATGCCAGATTTGGAATCAGCACCCTGAAATTAGTATAGAACAGCTGCAAAAGTCCAAATTACATTAAAACCCTTGGAATACCTCGTGCCAGACAAAGTGTGTTGACCAGCGTGATCGCAGTTGGTATTTGTCGCCACCGTTCTCACTGCGCGAGCCTGACACGCGCACGCGGGTTTAGTCAGCGGTGGTTCCGCTGTTTGGGGCGATGCTGCGGCTGTGTGGTTTTTACTTATCGTGTGATTGTTAACGTTGCCAGTACAGCACGATGTTGTTTAAACGGAGGACCCGGGAGAAACATCCACGCGACCACGGGGAGAAGGAGAGGCACGCGAACTGCAAATACGCAGCAGCAGGCGTCAGGGTCGGGATCGAACCCACGGCCTCCTGCACACGTGGCGAGGGAGTTAACATCTCATAGCCACTGCTGGATCAGTGGCGAGGAAACCTCCCACAACCCCCTCCCACTACACGCCACCCCCACCGCGGCCCTTCTAATCAACTGAAATTGTGTCGCTTGTTTGGCGCTGAGGATTTGCTGCAACCTTTTGATGGCTGGAAGGTCAATGATCAACCAAACCGATTTCCCCGTCCTATAAACTTGCAACGGCGTTCTGGCCGAGTGCCCCGGTGGGAGGGGAGGGGAGGAGAGGGGGGTTAATGACTCAAGCCCCCGGGACCGATGGGAGCCTGGGTTCGAATCTGAGTATCAACCACCCGTGAGTAAAGCAAGTTCTCAGGTGTAAGAGGGTTTATAACCTCAACCCAGTCACCAATGATTGTCTAACATGAATACATAAATACAGGGTGAACGTTTTAGCACCCGCGGTAAACAGTGCCTGGACCAAAATCGATAGATACTCAGGGAGAACACTCAAATTCCACATCACAGCTGTATCTGCAATCCACTTGTTGCACTGCCTCAGGTAGCCGGTGTGTCGTACACGTGCAATAACAACGCTGAGTCCAACTGCTCTTTCTCACGAGGGTGCTCGCCGCGTGATCGGCTTCTTTTTTAAATCCTTTATATTAAGTTCACTTGCTTGCTTGCTTACGACCGTGCAAATCTGTCGGTCGTTTTTTACCCCACTTCCCGTGATCCAATCGAGCTGACATTTTGCACACAGACTCGTTGTGTGTGACAATTAATTTTCGTGAACTTTTTTTTCCAAAATTTTACACTGTTTAGGGAAAACAAATTAAATATTTAATTACCAATTGCTTAATACTGACAATCATCTGACCCATAGGTGGCAGCCATCTCAAGCCAGAGGACGAGAGGACTCTAGCTGCCACGCATATAAAGGATTTATAGTGAAAAACTTTGTTTTTACGGGTTATACTTATTTCATCTTAAGATTTGTTTAAGACAATTAAATGTGGGCGTCCGTCATACAAGCGGGAGAAAAGTGGAGCACCCGAAGTAAAACCCACGCTCCTTAATGGTAGCGACACCCCCTGCCCCCCCCCCCCCCGTCCGTTACAGACGGTAACAGACGGAGGTCAGTCCATTGGCTGTACCGCCTTTCTCACGACGAGCCAAGGAAGCGCGACTTCCTCCTCCTCGACGCCCGCGTTGAAGGGAGATTCGCAGCGTTTGTTCAGTGACCCACCAACCCTCGCCGCTTGCCTGCCGCAGCGCTCGCTAAACAGGCAGCAGCAGCGTGGCCACCAACGCCACTTGCCGGGCTTTGATCACAGCATGGGACACCGGCCACAAACGCGAATTTTCGCTCGACCTTTTTAGATATGTCGATGGAAGTGTGTGTTATTATTATTTTGTGTTGTTGTCGCCCATTTGTTCGCGGACTTTGATGGCTGACGGTCAAGAATCGTGACAGAAGGGAGCAAGCGGCACGTGGCCACGGCAATCTGGTGAGTAGGTGAGTGAGTAGGTGAGCGAGTGAGTAGATGAGTAGGTGAGCGAGTAGATGAGTGAATAGGTGAGTGAGTAGGTGAGTGAATAGGTGAGTGGGTTGGTGAGTGAATAGGTTAGTGAGTAGGTGAGTGATTGAGTAGGTGAGTGGGCTAGTAGGATAGTGAGTGGGTGAGTGAGTAGGTGAGTGAGTGGGTAAGTAGGTGAGTGGGTGAGTAGGTAGGTGAGTAGGTGAGTGAGCGAGTGGGTGAGTATGTGAGTGACTGAGTGGGTGAGTAGGTAGGTGAGTAGGTGACTGAGTGGGTGAGTGAGTGAGCGGGTGAGTGAGCGAGTGGGTATGTGAGTGACTGAGTGGGTGAGTAGGTGAGTGAGCGAGTGGGGGAGTAGGTGAGTGAGTGGGTATGTGAGTGAGTGACTGAGTAGGTGAGTAGGTGAGTGAGTGACTGAGTGGGTGAGTGGGTGAGTTTGTGAGTGAGTGACTGAGTGGGTGAGTATGTGAGTGAGTGGGTGAGTAGGTGAGTGAGTGGGTGAGTAGGTGAGTGGGTGAGTAGGTGAGTGAGCGAGTGGGTGAGTATGTGAGTGAGTGACTGAGTAGGTGAGTATGTGAGTGAGTGACTGAGTGGGTGAGTAGGTGAGTGAGTGGGTGAGTAGGTGAGTGAGTGGGTGAGTAGGTTAGCGAGTGGGTGAGTATGTGAGTGAGTGACTGAGTGGGTGCTGCTGCCGCTTTCACTGCCTCTCCCCCCTCCTGTCCTCTCTCCCTGCCTCTGTCACTCTCCTCCTCGTCTTCTTGGTGTCTTTACGATCACAACGTAACAAAATGCTCGGTGTGTTCAGCAAATTGATTTCGTTCATCGTGTCGTTTTTTTTTGTCTTTTTTCAATGCTCCGTCTTACCTAATTCCTCCTCACTCTATACAACTCCACGTGTCACTATTGTTTTTCTTTTTTTCCTCGCCCCCCTCTTTTTTTTAGGGCTTCCGCTCATTTTATTAATGTACTTGTTAGTGTTTCACAGAAGGAATAAACATTTTCATTTACTTCAACGTCTTGTTGTTGTTGTTGTGTTCACGGCGTGCTGCCCAGTCGCGTGGGCTGTTGCTGCTTCTTGTGCAGCTGCTGCTTCTGCTGCTGCTGCTTCTTGTGCAGCTGCTGCAGCTGCTTCTGCTGCTGCTGCTTCTTGTGCAGCTGCTGCTTCTTGTGCAGCAGCTGCGGCTGTGCGCAGTAGCGCTCCAGCAGCAGCAGCGAGCAGGCGCGCAGGCAGCACGCTTCTGTGATGCCGCCTAGCTGCTGCCGCTGCCGCTGCACGCCAGCTGGTGGCGCCGCGTAGAAGCCTCGCCCGTTGCATACAAACGCCAAGGCGTCGACCAGCTGGCTCCCGCACAGAGTCAAGGCCGCGCTTTGGTGGTGGAGTAGTACGCACAGCGCCAGCGGCGCCAGCAGCCACAGCCGCTGGGGACGCGGGTGGCGGGAGGCCATGACTCTGTGCAGCAGGAGGCCCATGCTGCTGCTGCTGCTGCTGCCGCCCCCGTGGGTTGTTGTTGTCGCGGTGACGGTGGCAACTGCGAAGCGCGCGCGTCGCTCTCTCGGGGGGGGAGAGTGGGGGAGTGGTGGGGGGAGAGTGGGGGGGGGGAGAGTGGGGGGAAGTGGTGGGGGGAGAGTGGGGGGAGTGGTGGGGGAGAGTGGGGGGGGGGGAGAGTGGGGGGAAGTGGTGGGGGGAGAGAGTGGGGGGAGTGGTGGGGGGGAGAGTGGGGGGGGGGAGAGTGGGGGGAAGTGGTGGGGGAGAGTGGGGGGAGTGGTGGGGGGAGAGGTGGGGGGGAGGGGGGAGAGTGGGGGGAAGTGGTGGGGGGAGAGTGGGGGGAGTGGTGGGGGGAGGAGTGGGGGGGGGGAGAGTGGGGGGAAGTGGTGGGGGAGAGTGGGGGGAGTGGTGGGGGAGAGTGGGGGGGGGGAGAGTGGGGGGAATGGTGGGGGAGAGTGGGGGGAGTGGTGGGGGAGAGTGGGGGGGGGGAGAGTGGGGGGAAGTGGTGGGGGGAGAGTGGGGGGGGGGGAGAGTGGGGGGAAGTGGTGGGGGGAGAGTGGGGGAGTGGTGGGGGGAGAGTGGGGGGAGAGTGGGGTGAGTGGTGGGGGGAGAGTGGGGGAGTGGGTGAGTGGAGATTGTATGATCTCCTGTCCTACAGAGTGAGTGGAGATGTATGATCTCCCCTGTCCTACAGAGTGAGTGAGTGGAGTTTGTATGATCTCCCCTGTCCTACAGAGAGAGTGAGTGAGTGGAGTTTGTATGATCTCCCCTGTTCTGCAGAGTGAGTGAGTGGAGTTTGTGTGATCCCCCTGTCCTACAGAGTGAGTGAGTGGAGTTTGTGTTCCCCCTGTCCTACAGAGTGAGTGAGGTAGTTTTATGATCTCCCCTGTTCTGCAGAGTGAGTGAGTGTAGTTTGTATGATCTACCCCCTGTTCTACAGAGTGAGTGAGTGGAGTTTGTATGATTCCCCCTGTTCTGCAGAGTGAGTGAGTGGAGTTGTATGATCTCCCTTGTTCTGCAGAGTGAGTGAGTGGAGTTTGTATGATCTCCCCTGTTCTGCAGAGTGAGTGAGTGTAGTTTGTATGATCTCCCCTGTTCTGCAGAGTGAGTGAGTGGAGTTTGTATGATCTCCCCCTGTTCTGCAGAGTGATGTGAGTGGAGTTTGTATGATCTCCCCCTGTTCTGCAGAGTGAGTGAGTGGAGTGTGTATGATCTCCCATTGTTCTGCCGAGTGAGGTTGAGTGAGTTTGTATGATCTCCCCTGTTCTGCCAGAGTGAGTGAGTGAGTTTGATGATCGCCCCCTGTTCTGCAGAGTGAGTGACGTGAGTGGAGTTTGTATGATCTCCCATGTTCTACAGAGTGAGTGAGATGGAGTTGGTATGATCTCCCCTGTTCTGCAGAGTGAGTGAGTGGCGTTTGGTGATCTTCCCCCTGTCATACAGATGTGAGGAGTGTAGTTTGTATGATCTTCCCCTGTTCTGCAGAGTGAGATGAGTGTAGTTTGTATGATCTCCCCCTGTTCTGCAGAGTGAGTGAGCTGGAGTTTGTGTGATCTCCCCCTGTCCTACAGAGTGAGTGAGTGTAGTTTGTATGATCTCCCCCTCTGTTCTGGCAGAGTGAGTGAGTGTAGTTTGTATGATCTCCCCCTGTTCTGCAGAGTGAGTGAGTGGAGTTTGTATGATCTCCCCCTGTTCTGCAGAGTGAGTGAGTGGAGTTTGTATGATCTCCCCTTGTTCTGCAGAGTGAGTGAGTGGAGTTTGTATGATCTCCCCCTGTCCTACAGAGTGAGTGAGTGGAGTTTGTATGATCTCCCCCTGTTCTACAGAGTGAGTGAGTGGAGTTTGTGTGATCTCCCCCTGTTCTGCAGAGTGAGTGAGTGGAGTTTGTATGATCTCCCCCTGTTCTGCAGAGTGAGTGAGTGAGTGGAGTTTGTATGATCTCCCCCTGTCCTACAGAGTGAGTGAGTGGAGTTTGTATGATCTCCCCCTGTTCTACAGAGTGAGTGAGTGGAGTTGGTATGATCTCCCCCTGTTCTGCAGAGTGAGTGAGTGAGTGGAGTTTGTGTGATCTCCCCTGTCCTACAGAGTGAGTGGAGTTTGTGTGATCTACCCCTGTTCTACAGAGTGAGTGAGTGTAGTTTGTATGATCTACCCCTGTTCTACAGAGTGAGTGAGTGGAGTTTGTATGATCTCCCCCTGTGAGCCGAAACACACTCACAGGCAAAAAGAGTCACAGACATATACAGAAACCCACAGACACCCACACACACAGAGAAACACACACACACAGAGACACAGAGAGAGAGACAGACACAGAGAGACACACACACATACAGACACACACAGAGAGACACACACAGAGACACACACACACAGAGACATGGTCTCCGGAGGAGCTCACCGATGGGACTTTGCCCAGATATTTCAAGGATTTGTGAGCTCCTCACACAATCCAACCTGGTTAAACCCAGGATGGATCGTAGGCAGGCCAGCCTAAATGTTTCCAACCGGAGAGACACACACACACAGACACAAAACACAAAGACACACACACAGAGAGAGGCACACACAGAGACACACACAGATACACACAGAGACACACACACAGAGAGACACACATACACAGAGACACACATACACAGAGACACACACAGACACACACAGAGACACACACACAGAGACACAGAGACACACACAGAGACACACACACACAGAAACACACACACACAGAGACACACACAGATACACACAGAGACACACAGAGAGAGACACACACACAGAGACACAGAGACACACACACACATATACAGAGAACACACACACACATACACAGAGAAACACACACACAGAGACACACACACACACACAGAGAAACACACACAGAGACGTAGGCATATGCACAATCTCGTGACACTCACTCTCCCTCAAGGGCACGACCTCAAGCGCGACCCAGGCTGAGGACAGCGGTGGTGAGGACGAGACGGAGAATCTCACGCGGAGGAGATAGCGGCCACCGGCATCGTCCAGCGCTGAAGAGACGTCGCAGCACGTGTCTTTGGTGGCAGCACAGACGGTCTGCCAGAGGGCGCGTCTGAAGCTGCGCAGACAGAGACACAGGGAGCAGTGGTGAGGGTGGTGAGGAGAGAGTGGGTGAGTGGGTTGGTGGGTGGGTGGGTTGGTGAGTGAGTGAGTGGGTTGGTGGGTGAGTGGGTTGGTGGGTGAGTGAGTGGGTTGGTGAGTGAGTGAATAATGAGTGAGTGGCTGAGTGAGTGGCTGAGTGAGTGAGTGACTGAGTGAGTGAGTGGGTTGGTAGGTGAGTGGGTTGGTGGGTGAGTGAGTGGCTGAGTGAGTGAGTGGGTTGGTGAGTGAGTGGGTTGGTGAGTGTGGTGAGTGGGTTAGTGGGTGGGTGAGTGGGTTGGTGAGTAAGTGGGTCGGTGAGTGAGTGGGTGAGTGAGTGGGTGAGTGGGTGAGTGGGTTGGTGGGTGAGTGGGTTCGTGAGTGGGTTGACGAGTGAGTGAATTAATGGGTGAGTGCCTGAGTGAGTGGCTGAGTGAGTGAGTGGCTGAGTGAGTGGGTTGGCGGGTGAGTGAGTGGGTTGGTTGGTGAGTGGGTTGGTGAGTGAGTGGGTTGGTTGGTGAGCGAGTGGGTTGGTGAGTGAGTGACTTAATGGGTGAGTGGCTGAGTGAGTGAGTGAGCATCTCACAGTTTGCTCTGAACTCTGTAGGTGACATTCAGGAACGTTGAGTTGGTGGTGGTGGTGGAGTTGATGCTTGAAGGGTCAACAGGTGGGGGTCTCTCTCCTCCACCCCCCACAGGAGCCACTTCAACGGGGTCCCAGCAAAGCGTCGCCAGGAGGTCTTGAGACTCCAAACGCACATTCAGTAGATACGGCGCAACTGGGCAGATGGGAAAACAACACTCACACACAGTGCGCTAACCACTGCACCACCACTCACACAGTGCGCTAACCACTGCACCACCACTCCCCCCACACACACACAGTGCGCTAACCACTGCACCACCACTCACTCACACACAGTGCGCTAACCAGTGCACCACCAATCCCCACACACACAGTGCGCTAACCACTGCACCACCACTCCCCCCACACACACAGTGCGCTAACCACTGCACCACCACTCACACACAGTGCGCTAACCACTGCACCACCACTCCCCACACACACACAGTGCGCTAACCACTGCACCACCACTCCCCACACACACACACAGTGCGCTAACCACTGCACCACCACTCACCGTGGCTGCACGTGGCGAGGTGGAGGAAGAGGAGGTCACGTGTGGAGAGTTTCCACGTCGCCATTCACACCACGTGACCTCTGACCCGAAGTCACGTGCAGAGAAAATCGATACGCGCGTCTCATTGGTCCTCCTCCGAGGGGGCCACGCCCCCTCGAGAATTTTCCGCTCTTCCGATTGGTCCGGTGTGGGGGTGACGTCACGACACAACAAACCCCCCCCACCCCTCCATTGCCACGTAAGCCAATCGGCGAACTCCCCACTGGGTGATGACGTCACGCACGCGCATCCTGTAGCCAATGAGCGCGTCCGCGTAGGGACGGATGACGTCATGTGACTCGAGAGCGAGAGCGGGAGGGGCTACACAAGTCGAGGCCGAGACGCTGTAGCAGCTGCTGCTGTAGCTACAGCTGTTTGCTGCTGCTGCTGTGTTGCTGCTGCTGCTGTTGATGCTGCTGTGTGCTGCTGCTGCTGTTGCTGCTGCTGCTGCTGTTGCTGCTGCTGTTGCTGCTGCTGTTGCTGTTGCTGCTGCTGCTGTGCTGCTGCTGCTGTTGCTGCTGCTGCTGTTGCTGCTGCTGCTGCTGCTGTGCTGCTGCTGTTGCTGCTGCTGCTGTGCTGCTGTTGCTGTTGCTGCTGCTGCTGTTGCTGCTGCTGTTGCTGCTGCTGCTGTGTTGCTGCTGCTGCTGTTGCTGCTGCTGTTG